ACTTCAGTTAACTCTCCAGTTTTGTTCCCATGGCCACCCGATACAACCTGTATGTAAATTATGTTACCAGGTCACATTGCTTATGGTGAAAATGATCCCTAATGGATAGACAGCATGTGGACTGGGAAGATTATCAATACATATTTTAGAAGGGCATATCCTTGGAGTGCAGCGACTCTTGTAGCTGGGGTTGTCTTTTGTGGAGTCCTCAAAAGCTATGTCTGTGGAATTGTTACAGATATATTGGCTCCTGTGGAAAATGAGGCTTTGAAGCCATGTTGCCTCTCACACCTGCCTGATGTGGACCCCTTCATCTCTTTGCACCTGAGCTGTCATCTGGGGATTGGAAATCCAGAAGCCAGCCCCTGAATTGCTATGGGGGTTTCTGCTGAAAGCGGTGCTGGACACACCCCAACTAGCAAGCTATGGTTCCTGTCCTGTGTCCTTCTGAGAAGACTGATGCTAAGTGGTCTATGAGAGTCTTATTAGTACTGATGTAAAGTTGAACCAAAGACCCTCCCCACTCCCTCAAATGGACACTGCAGATACAAAATAGATGAGACCTAATATGAAGGATTAGAGGGGAAGTACTAAATTCCTGGTGCCTAGGTACACATTTTCTATTTAATAAAAAGGACAGTAAAGAAACATTTGCTATTGATAAAAATAAACAAGAAACATTTCCTGTTTTTCCTGGGTCTCTGGTTATAGCCCCTAGTCTTTTTTTTTTTTTTTTTTTTTTTTAAAAAAAAAAAAAAAACTCTAAATTCCTGGATCTTTGCTTATTTGAAAGGGAGCTGAATAATAGCACTTCCATCAATTAGTAGCAGTTTCTGGAGACCTTCAAAGTCCTGGGAGAGTCCCAAGTGCTAAATAGTCTTCATGTGTACAGCAAGTATTGATGATCTTATACTTATGCTCTTTATTCTTAAATCATCTCACTTAAATGATCCATACGATCTCCTTTGCTTCCATATGATCTCCTTTTTTCAGGGTCACAAACTAAGAATGGTTTTTGAGCACTTTATCTCTTTTTTCTCTGAGGTCTTTCTTCTCCATAGAATTCATCTCAATTTTCTCTGAGTTTCAACTAGCTTAAAACACCCTTGACTAGAAACGCCCAAGGTCAGTGGTAGGTTGTGTAGCCAGCTGAGAATGGTGTTTGATGTCTATGCCTCATGCCCAGTGCCAGGCTCGGGAACATACCTCCTCACCTCAGGGCATGACTTATGTTAGGGTCCAAGAACCTAAGAATGGCACAGCTGGTTAAGAAATTTGATGGTAGAGAATTAGGGCAACTATTTAATAATAAGAGAGAAGACAGACAGTCAAAAGGTAGGCTTGCATAGTTATAAATGACTGCAGGAAAGAATGAAACTCAGAACCTGGGTTCATCTAGCAGGCTGCTTCCAGGAATGGTGACAAGAAATTCTGAATATCTGCTCTATCCTTACCGTGAGTTTGACCCTGCTTCTCTGTGAGAACCCCGATGGTGCACTTCCCTCATACTACATATAGAAGAGGCACACTCATGCAAGGATGGTCGATATGCCGCCTGCAACAATTTGTGTATCATTTTGGGAAAGCAGTTTAATAGTGCTCATGCTTCTAACACCATTAATTCTACTCCTCAATATTTACTCCAGAAAGTCAAAATAAGCCAAGAAAACTCTATGCATATTTTTCTTTTTACCATTCATGAAGATAATATAGCAATATAAAACTGGCTGAAATATTAAAGAAAAAACCCAAAACACAGAGTGTCTGAATAACCAGTGTGAGTACAACTTTGAAAACGTACAAGTATATGTGGACATGAATGAAACAAATGAAAATAGTTATGACAAAGTGGTAATGAAAAACAAAGGAAAGCAGTTGTGACAAAGTTGTAAAATTATGGATGACACATCTCTTTTTAAAATTCTTCAGTCTCATCTTGTTGTAAATTTAGAATGAAAGATTAAAATAAGAACAATCACTTAGTTAAGTGGATGTGAGGAAAGACATTTTCTCATCCCTAATACATCTATGAGTATACGGCTTATCGTTTCTATAACTGAGGGATACAACGCATTCTCAGATCACAACACACAGTTGTTTCTCATGTGGCTTGGGTAAAACAATGATAAATACAGAGCCATGTTTATAGAATTATCTAATTTGATAGTTAAATGAATTTGTAATTCCAAGACTTTCATTCTAAACTCAAGATTTTGTAATTTCAGGGGCTGATCCATGATCTTTCTGCCTTTCAAACAAAATCAGACCTTGTAAGTCAAAGGGATAACAATATTATACTTAGTATTACTGTCAACTCCAGCTATTAGGTGCACTGTATTAGTTCACTACGATGTGCCATATGTATATAATTCCTCTTTATTTTCAGTCTTCCTAAAAGGTAATTAGTTTTCCTTATTTTCAAGAACAAGGGACTAAGTTACAGTTTAAATATCTTGTGCAATATGAAATCATACTAACCAATGGTTATGTCAAACTTATAATGCCCTAGGCAATTTAAATACCTTGTGCAATATGAAATCATACTAACCAATGGTTATATCAAACTTATAATGTGCTAGGCAATTTAAATATCTTATGCAATATGAAATCATAACAACCAAGCTTATAATGCACGAGGCAATTTACTAACCCTTTTAATCCTGAGAGTAATCTTATAAGGTAGTTACTGTTAAATTCCCATTAAGCAGATGAGGAAACTCAGCTCAGAAAGGTGAGGTACCTTGTCCAAGGGTTCTGGTTTAGCTAGCAAGTGGTGGAGACAGGATTCCAACTCTGACAGTCTGGCTCAGAGCCTGTGCCCTAAAGCAGGGTCCCCAGTCCACAGGGCCAGGGTTCCTGGCCTGTTAGGAATGAGGCTGCACAGCAGGAGGTGAGTGAGCATTACCGCCTTAGCTCCGCCTCCTGTCAGATCAACGGCAGCATTTGATTCTCATAGGAGCATGAAACAATGTGAACTGTGCATGCAAGAGATCTAGGTTGCATGCTACTTATGAGACTCTAAGGTCCGATGATCTGAGGTGGAACAGCTTCATCCTGAAACCATCTTCCACTGTCTGTGGAAAAACTGTCTTCCATGAAACTGGTCCCTGGTGCCAAAAAGGTTGGGAACTGTTGCCCTAAAACACTGCCCTACACCATACTTGATAAATGACAAGAAAAGGATACCATTTGCTTTCTAATTTGGGTCAACACACTTTCCACTGCATCTTCCTTCACCTCATTTGCAAACATGAGTGACTGACTTGTCCATTGCCATATGAGTAGTTCATGGTTGAGAATTAACTTCTTGACTTCTAATCTAATGGTCTTCCTATTATCCCAGAATGCCAGAAATGAAAAAAAAATCTAGCTAAGAACAAAAGCAAATGAAAAAAGATCCTAGGAAAATCAAGTCTAGCTGGGCGTGGTGGTGCATGCCTGTAATCTCAGCTACTCAGGAGGCTGAGGCAGGAGAATCACGTGAACCCAGGAGGCGGAGGTTGCAGTGGGCTGAGATCTGCCATTGCACTCCAGCCTGGGCAACAAGAGCAAAACTCTGTCTCTCAAAAAAAAAAAAAAAAAAAAAGTAAAAATCTTCCTTGTCTCTCTTCTATCCCATTTATTTTCATGGGACTCTGGCTCATGTCTGTCGTTATGGATCAGTGACCTATATGGGAGGGAGAAGCAGTGATATACAAGAGGGGCTTCTGGGGGACGTGGCCATCACCCTGGACATCTGCTGTTCCTGGTTTTAGCCAAACTCTCTATATGTCACTGTTGTGAAAGTTTATGTGGAAAATGGCTTGCCAATAGGTGGGACTTTTGAAAAATGTTACCAATTTCTGATTTTTGCTTTTTTAAAAAAAAGAAAAGAGAAAAACCGAGCTTAGAAGGTGTGATGGTGGGTTTGTGTCAACTTGGCTAGGCCATAGTGCCCACTTATTCAGCCAAATGACACTATAGGTTTTGATGTGAAGGTATTTAGTAAATGTAATTAATATCTACAGTCAGTTAACTTTAAGTACAGGCTATTAGCCGTGATAACTTCAGTGTGCCTCATCCGATCAGATGAAGGCCTTCAGAACAACAACTGAGATGTCCTGGAAAAGAAGAAACTCTACCTCAAGACTACAGCACTAACTCCTGCCTGAGTTTCCAGCTTACTGATATTAACTACAGATTTCAGTCTCACTAGCCCCTACAAATGTATGAGCTAATTTCTTATAAGAAATCTCTATACACTTGCCTACTCACCTACCTACCCACTCATGCACTCACCCATCCACCCATCCGCCCATCATCCATCCATCCATCTAGTCAGCTTTGTTTCCCTGGAGAACCCTGACGGGTATAGAGGTTTTCCCAGGACTAAAAAGCACTACAAGAATGCTGAGCACATGGATCCACTTGACACACATGATGAAAAGCAGAAACAGCCTGAAAACAGAAAAAGAAAAGTTCTGCTGAAGGGACATGGCATTACTGCCACCATGCAGGCAGGGACCAGTGCAAACATTACTCTCTGCCCTCATGTCACAGTGGGTAGAAAGTTACGACAATCTCAGTGCAGTCAGAACTGAAAGGGGTGTGCTCACCGTGAAACATAGGCTCAGGCACCTGTGAGTCCCTGTAGCAACAGAATGACAGCAGGGAGTAAAGAACACGCACTCATATTTCTAGGAATTAACAGCAACAGAAAGGAGTTCTGGGAGTATTAAGAAGACCTCCTCGGTCATCGCTGACAGTGAGCTCAAAGCCTCCCCAGAGTCCTGGACAACACTGACAGGCAAAGCATCTCTAATTCTTCATAGAGCTCTAGGTTCCTACATCAATTCCTATGCTTGCAGAGAGTTATGGTTTAAACCAGATCTGCTTCTCATTTTAAAAATAAACTTGTCCTTTCAAATGTCGTCCTCATCACCACCTCCCAGCAGTCTCCCCTAAATGACTATGTCAGATGCCAAGTTGGAGGAAGGTGCAGGGCAGACAACCAATCTCACCTTGGCTTCTGAAGTGGGTTCCAAGAAGCACAGGCGATTCCCAAGTCCCTCAGCTGCGAGGCAGAACTTCCTCTGCTCCTTGTGAATGGTGGCGATGCACTGGAGTACCACTTCATCCTCCTGCCGGGAGAGGAGAGACCCAAACATGAGTAAGGGGAACTGCTGAGCAGGCTCTGAGTCACCTTGCTGTACCTGAGTCAGGTAAGCTGCCAATCCGTGAAGGCCACATGCTTTTTGTTTTTATTTTTAAACCTGATTATGGAAGGAGATTTTCTATTCATAGGGCATCATTGAACATCTAGCATAGGTCAAAACTCTACTTAATCCTAGGGTGAGGTCAGTGGGGCAAGTGCACATACAGCATGAGCCTCATTTCTGAGAGCTGTGCAAAGCATATGGGCTAGGTGAGCTGATGATTTCAACACTGAGCAAATATGAGAGCAAATTTATACTACCTCTCCAAATGTAGAATAAAACAGTAAGACGTGATGGAGGGGAACAGAGAAAAGAGACAAGATCAGAGCAAGGGTATTGGGGTTTCACGTTGTGGAAGAGGCAAAGTACATTTTGTTTGGGGACACAAGTGTATGTGGTTGGCCAGATATTTGCCAGAGATGGTAGAGAAAGATGTGGACGGTGAAGGAAATGGATTTTAGACTCACAGAAAAGGAAGATTAAAGCAGCACTGAAGATCAGGTAGAAGGAGTAGGAATTGAAGGTCAAGTAGAAGAACTGCTCTGAATTCCCAAGAAGTAGACCTCCCCCACTAAATATCAATCTCAAAAGCAGCCCTCCTAAAATTTCAGAGGCCCTGGAAGAGTCAGCCCTCCAACTACACCTGTATGTTCACTTCTTGTACAACCTTCCCTGAGGTGGAGAGGAAAACAGTTTCCTTATCAATTCGTCTGTTCCTGTCCCTCCTGTCAGGCCATGTCCCTAGTCACCACCACATGGCTTTGGATTTCAAGCACCAAACAGATTTCCAGGTGTGATTATGTTACGGAAGTGGCGGGGGAGGAGCCAGCTAGAGCCTTCCTCCTTTTGAGCATCCGCCCATCCACTGCCCTATCTCGCCTCCATGTCCCTCAGTGGGACAAGAGATTATCTTGGAGTGTTGGAAAGACAGATTATGTAGAAATATTTTTTCTTAAACTGTTTCTGGAATGTGCCTATGACAGGAAAAAATAAAATGGTCCTACCAAGTTAGAGTATGAAGCGATTCACTCTTAACAGACCCCTACAAAGATGTCTGCCCAGAGACAGGTGAGGGCCTACAGGGGAATGTAAGAAGCCAAAAATTGTAGATGTATGAAAAGACGACTGGGAAAAAATAGCCCCACAGTTTTACTAGCACTGAAATATCACTGCTCATTATCTAAGTGAGTCAGAAACAAATTCAGGAGTCTCTGCTTACGGAAAAGTCAGAATTCGTGGTCTACATTTTAAATGAGACCGAAGAAAACTCCAGAATATCACCGCTTTAAAGTGAGGGTTTAATGAAATCTCCTAAGAGAATGAAATTTTTCTCCAGGTGGAATGTGCCCCTAGATCCCATGTAACCAGGGGTGATCTGATTCTCCTAATGGCATCGGCAGTGGGGGCGCACTCTTAGCTGCCAAGGTGCCTGAGCTGTGCTGCTTGTGTTGGAAAGCAGGGGCCATGGACGTTAAATAATCAGCAGTGCAAGACGCAGTACTCAAAACTTAACGTTCACGCCTAAACCAAGAATACTCCTATTGAGAAATATTTAAGTATCTCCCCCACCCATGGTGAACCAGTAAAAAGAAACAAAAACTAAAACTCCCCCCAAAACTAAAACACCACGACCACCACCACCACCACCTCCACCCAAGCATCTAGAAATCATAGAAGTGTAATTATGGATTTTTTACAAAAACAAGAGTTGACAGTTTACCCATCAATGTGTGTCTTTGAGGTTCTCTTTGCAAGATCTCATTTCCCCCTCCCTCTGTATCCCCAGGTGCCCAAACCACCAAGGCCTTGACCCTGCACTAGCTGCCTTAGGGTCTCCCCATTTGTCTTCTGAAATTTCCCTGTCCTATAAGTCACATCCTTTTAACCCAAGCTGCCAAGAAACTAATCCAACAACCTGCTCTGATTTAATTAATAGCCATTTGCAGAAGAGCAACCCACACCTATGTGTTCCTAGGTTGGTGCTCTGGTGACACACACATGGGTATGGGGCTCTGGGCCAAATAGATGCTTCTCCAAATGATCTCTACAGTTTCTCACATTCTGTCTGGAACCTTCTGCTCAACCATGCTCACCTGGCTGCAGACAGCACCTGGAGAGGCAGCCTGCACGTGCCTGTGCTTCATATAGCAGTGATTATTTCCATAAACCTTCAATAGACAGACATCTGGAGCCACTGAGTGCCTGACACCGAAATCTTTGCACTGAATTCCATTTGGAATTATGAGATGAGTTAATTCAACCCATCTGATTACTCCTCTCGCTCCTGAGTAAAATACAGAACACAAACTCTCCATTTAGAACACAAGCCTTTCTTCATCCCCGTACTGGTTTCTACTTTCTCCCCTAGAATTATCCTCCCTCTTTTTTTCTCACTTGCTTTAAATCAGATCTGTGCATTGCTGAAGGATGTCATTTCCAAGGAAGCCCCCTTACTTGAAGGTTGCAAATTCTTCCACATTTTGTATGTCCTTTCCCTGGAAGCTTGCCTTCTTCTCACATGCCCCAATGCCAAATTTGGACCTTACTATTTTACCCAGGTGCAAACACTGTGGTATTGAAGTATGTGATAGCCACTCTCCACATCTTCTTTGACAACCTGTGAAAATCCTGGCTACTACTCTCATCATTTATCTGACTCTTAATGACAATCAGAAAGTCTAATAAATATTTGTGTTAATTCAATACATTTGTATTATATGCAAATTAATACAAATGCAATGATACATTTATTGACTGTGTTGCAATGACAGGAAGAATACTATGAGATGCGCAGGTTTTATAAGGTAAGACCTACTAATACTAATAATGGAATTGTGGGCTGCAAGGCCATCCCACAGCCTTCCTCCACTCCACTTTTGCTACCATCCTAAGTCGCTTCAGGGTTTATGCAGGCATCTGCTCAAAGTAAATACCCTGACCTAATGATTTCTGCTGTTTTAGTAACACACTATGATGAACCTTCCATGTCATAACCTAGAATAATCCCACTTCTAAAATCCAAAACTGGACTATTCAAGTTTACAGACCCATTTTCTCTCTTGCTTTCACATTCCTTACTAGATTTGCTCTACTTTATTAAGACTTCCAGTTCCTGCAAGGTGCTGTCATCTCCATTATTTCCTCTTTCTCAGGGAGAACTGTTGATTTATTTTTTTTGATAGAGAAAGTAGCACAACTTTAGGGTTTTGTGTCACGATAAATTTATGATTTCCTGGTAACTTATTTTCAGCTTGTTTCAACTCTATCTCACTGGAACAAGACCACAAAAATTTCCCTTTTTCTGTAGGCCTCACAGCAGATTCAACTCTGTCAACATAAAACAACCATACCTCTCAACTTCAAGAGAAATAGAAACAAAATGAAGAGAAGAAAGTACTAAGAGGGTGAAGTAATAAGTAACGGTGGTGGGGGCTGGGGGAATACTAAGGCCTTTCAAACCCAGAGTCTGTCTTATAAGAGTGAGATTCTCTTTAGTCTCCAGGAAATAATATCTTTAAGATCACATGGTCTCCTGCTTTATAACAAATGAGCCTAAATATCCCTGCCTGGATTTTAAGGTGCCCATAGTTGAGTTCTACCTGACACCTTTAGCTTTGTCTCTCCTTCATTCCTATTGCCTTCCTATCTCCCAAATAAGTCATGCCCAGGCTCCCTAAAATGCTCCTTTTTGAAACCCCTCCACTCCCGTATTCATTTCCCTATTCTTCTCATCCTCCTACCCTTATGATGGATCCTTCCCATGTCTAACTTCTTCTGTCATACATAAACATAAGGGATTGCTCAGGGATTGACCTTTGCCATTTTCCCTTAGCAATCTCATTCATTCTTCAGGCCTCCTGCTTTACTTCTGAGGAGCTGTTACACAGTCTGCACCTCCAACTTGGTGGCACTGTAGGTTCCAAACCTCCATCCAGTTTTATCTGTAGACTTACCAACACTTCAAACCAACATGTCCCGGTGCACTAAAAGGCTTATTTTTCAGTCTACCTATCCTTTTATATTCCCCAAATTTCTTAACGGCACATCCAACCTCTGGGCGGCCTCTGATTGCACATCATTATCTCCTATCTGAGTCCTCCCTCTTTCCGGTATCACGGCAAATGGGCTGGTAGAAGGAGAGACTGCAGAGCTCAAGGCCAAGACAAGGTTATTACAAGACCCAAAGCATTCTTCCTTAGTCTGCTACCAGAGGCATAGCTTTGACCTTGTTTTCCTGCTGAAAGTCCTCAGTGGTGCTCTCTCTACTGTTCACAAAACAAAAACTTCTTGAACTAGTAGTATCTGAGGAACTTCCACATTTCCAAACTATTTGTGCTGTAACTTCTTCCCTGTAGCCTTGGGTTTCCCTATTTCCATGCCTTTGATCACGAAATCTCTAATATTAAAGCTGCCTTCATTTGCCCTAGTTTCACATATTCATATATTACCTATCCTTCTAAGCTTACCTTAAATGCCACATTCTTTTATGAAGCCCAAGTAATCTCTCCTTTCTCTGAATTTCCATAGCAATATCACCCTACTCTGCATTATTACTTACAGGCATGCCTTCTCCCCAACTATGTTTTAAAATGGCCAACATTTGCTGATCCCTGACTATGTGACAGGCACCATGCTTTATGCACAAGAACCCATTTAAGCTTCACATCAACATTATGTAAGCAGTATCGTTTGTCTTCATTTTACAAATAAGGAAGCCTGTATAGGGCAGTTATGTAACTTGCCTCAGGTCTCATGGTGGCAGGGGGCAGAGCCTGGTATCTAATCCATGAAGTCTGTATTGATGCATTTGCTACCACTACTTCCAGCTGACTGTATGCCCCTCAAAGGCAGGACCACATCTGATTCTCATTTCTACCTATCATGATACTCACTATTGTGGTATACGATGCATATTATGCACTGAT